GCCTTACTAGTAGTAACAAGGACGCTACTAGGAACAAGTGCATCGCTACTAGCGTCCTACCCCCCCCCGCGCGCGCGCGCGCGCGTGGGCGCGAAAAGGTCCTAGTAGATTTCCAATCCTAATTTAACTACAATTAATTAACATGGTTACTACTAGTAAGGCACTTGTTACTAGTAGGGTGGCACCTGCTACTAGTAACAAGGACGCTACTAGGAACAAGTGCATGTCATCCATCGCATGTCAAACCCTAACCGCTCAAAGGGCCCCAACCATCGAACTGCTCAAGCGCGGGCCATGAGAGGTGATGGGCCAAGGGAAAACACAGACAAGTTGCAACTGCCATGTTTTCTTTAAAACCTGAGAGGGCATCTGCTTGGGTAAGCATGCACCAATGAATCAACAAATCCCGCGTGCCGGAGATTGACTCACAATGTTGATCTTCGTGGGCTGCGGACATGCGAACCACCTCCTAGACACCTCGGCATGGATGTCTCAATCGGAAAAAGTACAGTGATTTGCTCCGTGGATGTGCGACTTGCCGGTGCAAACATTATAAAAACGGCAAGACCAAGTGTGAAAACGACCGTGCTTGGCATCTTTAATTGCTTGAGGTCAAAGTGTTCTCAACGCACGGCATCTTACCACCATGTCAGACGTACGTTTCACCATTTTTCCACAGTCAATCACCAGTTGCCCTTGAGCTTCATAACTTTCTGCAATGTAAAGTTCTTGACCCCTTTCAGGCTTTAGGTTTTTCACAGTTCCTCCTTATGGGGTGGCTTCTGCTTTCCAAACGGTGAACACCTGTCGGATGGCACACCAAAGGTTTTGGCCTGGACTTGTTAGATTGGCGGTGGAAACGAAAAGCATGCGTGCGTAAACGCGCCGCGTCGCTGCAAAGCGGGATGGTTGACGGTGTCCACGAGGCTTGCCGGTACAATTGCTGTATCTAGTGCCAAGTGGCACACCGTGTGACGAAATTCCACACACGTTGATACAAAGTTAAAACATACTGAACAACAGAACTTGTATGCATTGTGTTTCAACTCTCTCGGGCCATTTTTGGTCTCTAGTTGCGAACAAACGAAAAGAACTCAGACGAACGGTCTCCTTTGACCCCTGGCCTCCCATGGCCCAAAAAAGCTTTGAGCGCATGACCGTCCATTTTGCTATGTTACTGGACTTTTGTGATTGAAAATACTGCGCCACAGAGCTTTCTGTGGAGCAAGCTTGAAGCTGAACCACAACAACATGAACAGAACAGGCAGAAAGTATCAAAAAGTCCTATCCCAACGATGTCCAAGGCATAGGCACATTTAGAAATGCGGAGTTTGCCAATTTATCTGAAAATCTGGGCAACCAATTGAAGAAGTCATTGAAGTGGATGAAGCAAACGTGGTGTCGCGCAACATAAAACCCTATCAAATTCATACCCCTCATCTGAACCACGCATTATCCCAACATATCCCAACAATCTCAACAAAACATGTAAGCGAAAAAAACAAAACATACCCGTAAAACATGTAAAATTACAACGTTGAACAAAACCACAACAAGCCAAAACAATCAGCCACCTCGTTGAATAACAAGAAACATGATTTTTCTGCACTTGATTTTCACCAGAACCCCCATAGAGAATAACGACACAAAGGCTCAACAAAAACTGTTGAGAGCCAAAAATATTCACCGAGGTGGTTGATGAACAAGAACTCCCCAGAACCCCTAGTTTGACCCCTTCCTATTCCCCCCACTGAACGTATCAAACCAAAGACACACCTCTTTGTGCGAACCGCCAGGCCGGCTCCGGCCCGGCTCTCTTTCAAGAGGCGGACTGATCCGGCATTCTGTAGTAGCGTCCTTGCTCCTAGTAGCGATGCCCTTTGCTACTAGTAGCTTCTTGCCCCTTGTAGTAGGGCAGGAGCCCCTAGTAGCGTCCGATCGCTCCTAGATCTCTCTGCCCACTCCGCTGCCCGCGCCTTTTCTGCAGACGGTCGCCAGACACGGTCGCCAGACACGGCGGTGAAACGTCGCCCCGGCGACGGGCGAAGGCAGGTTCGAGGTTGCCCGTACCCGTGGGTCGATGCAAAAGGCAAAGTGGACTGTTCGATGCAAAAGCCATGACAACAAAAGCAAAACGCGCCATCATCGTTTGACCATTGAATCATTGAGGCTCCTTGTGTTTTCCCCCCCTTCAACCCGTCCCCAAGCTATCCATCGATCTGGTCAGCTACCTTTCGAGCTGACCAAGTCGTAGCACGCGGCCGTGTTAGCCTGGCCAAGTCGTAGCTCGCGAAGGACCCGAGTCGAAACTCGTCGACGAGGAGAGGAGAGCTTGTCGTATGGGTGGCGACGGTGGTGAGAGGGGAACTATTCGACTCTAAACCACCTACTCAACTACAGAACTGCAAGATGCTTGTCAACAGCTTATCATTCAAGATATTCAAGTCCCCGTTCAATTGATCTGTTGCTGAGTTTCTTATTTCCGATTCTCTTCTTCGAAACCTTACTCCAAAATCCACGTGTTTCTACTAGCGTGGCACTTGTTTCTACTAGCGTGGCACCTGTTACTACTAGCGTGGCACCTGTTACTACTCCTGACCTCGTAGTGCATCCAGCAACCCGAAAACCAACCCAGGCCGCCTGCCGCCTGTCGCCGGGACACCTGCGATGCGGAGCGCTGGAATCCGACGACAACCCTTGCATTGCATCTAGGCCTGGTACGGCAGATTCAGTGAAAGTACAAGATGAGGATGAGAACTTGCACTGTAAGAATTTACAGGATTCCTTTAAGAATGGCTACAGAATCAAGTGGTCTGACGATGTTCTGCTTACAAAAAAACCTTCAGCAATTGTGAAGCCAAACATTGTCAAACATGGGACACTCTACTAAAATGATATGTCTGCCATACCTGATGGGGCAAAAAACTGCTCAGACGTTTGAAAGGTAAAAGGGATGGACATGGATGGGAAACTTGAGCTCACAAACGTCCAAGGTTTCCGTATTCGTTCCTGTCACATTAGTCTACATAGATGTTGTCCCAATTGCTGGCTGCTAAAGTCTTCCAACGACAAGACTTTAGAAACGTCCAACCACAAAATGGATGGGTCAAACGGAAAAGAGATCAAAAAGTGAAAATGAAAGCCAGTTTGGGGCTTGCTGAGTTTGGCTACTTTTCGCCATGGTTTCTTTGACCCCAGTATTTTTCAGCTTCATTCTGCTTCCGGATGTTCCAGTCACACTAGTCATCATAATGTTGACCTAGTAACACATTTTGCAATAATATCCGAAATGAAACAATGA